CCCCACCTCCTCTGCCCTGCTCCCACTGGCCCCGCCCCCTCGGCCCCACCCTGGCCGGCCCCGCCTCCTCCTGTTCAGCTTTCCAGGCTGAGCGGTAGGTCTCTGAGGACATGTCTCCTGAGCCAGCCACGACTTTTCTCCCCGCCCATCAACAAGCACTTTCAATCACTGTGTCCCATCCACTTCTGCTGTGAGCAGAACTGTGTCCTCACAAAGACGTGCTGAAGTCCTGACTCTGGACCTGTGATTGTGGCCTAGTTTGGAAACAGTCTTTGAAGAGGTGATCCAGTTAGGGTGAGGCCACACTGGAGGAGGTGAGCCCGAAACCCAACAATGGGCATCCTTATGGGGGGGCTGGGCACGGACGCAAGGAGAAGGCCCCCTGATGACACAGGCAGAGGCCGGAGCCATGGAGCCACAAGCCCAGGGATGCTGGCTCCAACAGAGGCCGGGAGGGACCAGAAAGGAACCAACCCTGCCCACAGCTCGGTCCCAGACTTCTGGCTTCTAGGACTGAGAAAGAATAAGTGTCCCAGGGCACTTGCACCCTCCAAACAGCCCCCTGGACTTGGACAGCAGGCCCACACCATGACAGGTCCCCTAGGACGAATGGAAGCCAAGCCTTCTGTCCCAAGCCCAGGCACGTGCGCCAGGGGTGGGTGTCACCCACTGCTCAGCACACTGAGGGGCAGGCGGTCACGTGTAGACATGCCGAGAACACAGGAGGGCCGCCAGAGCCTCACACAGCCCAGCAGATCAGAGCAGGGGACAGAGGAAGGCCTGCAGGTGCCACCAAACATCTCCACCACCCACCTCCTGCACTGTTCCATCTCTGTCCCGTCCAGTGTCCCACCCCTGTCCTCCCCACAGCTCTGTCCCCTCCACCGCTCTGTTCCCTCCACTGCTCTGCCCCCTGTCCCTTCAGCTGGGCCCTGCTTCACTGGCAGCACCTTTGCCCAGGAGGGCACTAGGGTGTGGCTCACGGGGCAGGCAGGGACTGCCCTCCCTCAACACCTTGTAGCATTCCGCGGCCTCGGGTGTCACAGCACTCCAGTAAATTGTCACCTAATGGAAAGGACAGCCTTTGGAAGCGAACTGTATTGAGAAGAGACGATGAAATTAATGAGATAATAGCCAGGCCAAGGACCCGGAGAGCGCGCCTGCCCGCCCGGCGCGGGCCTGTAATTCCTTTTCTACAGCGGAGCCTCAGATCTAAAGACTTCTCCCATCCGTCCGGCAGGCCCACGCCGCCAGGAAATTTCATTAACGCTGGAAAATAGGAAAGGTATTAAGCGTGGATAATGAAGGCTGGGGAGGGAGCAGCGCCTAAGATGGTCTTCCTTCCCGCCTTTGTAATGGGAGGCATGAACTCTCCCTTCAAATCCATTTCTAATCCACTTGAAATACTACAGCAAATTATCTCTCCACAGCCCGAAAGCGGCCAGCCAATTTACTCCGAATAGAAGTGACAATGCACCAGGATTTATCACCATGACCTTGACTACACAGGGTGAGGGCTGGTCCTCCCCTCGGCCCCGCGGGGCACAAGGACGGGCGGGGGAGACGGCTGAGAACATACGAGAGATACCGCAGCGAGCTTAAAAGGGAAAACACACCGCTGTCCGCCTCGGTGCAGCCGCACACTCAGCTGGCCTCCACTCGCAGGACACAGTAGGCAAAGGAACTGAGCCGGGAGCCAGGCGAGGATGCACACCTGGGCCGCGTCCTAATGCGACCAGGAGACTGAGACGAAGGCCTGCGAAGAATGGCAGGGCCACGTGACCCCAAGGCCTTTCAGGGTTTCCTCAGACTTCAGGGCTTCTATCCAGAGGGTACCCACAAAGCCAGCGCCACAAGTGCCCTGGCCAGAGATGAGGGGGCGGGGCGCTCTGGCCCCAACACGTGCCTGTCCTGCGGGCCCCGACATGCTGTGTCCAGGACATCTGCCAGGTCTGCCTGGCAGGGGGCTTCCCAGCCTGCATCACTGCCAATAAGGCCTTCCCAAGGCCTCGTCCACTGCTGCCATGTCCTGGACACACGTGAACAGGAGCAGACAGGCAACCAGACTCCCACGTGTGCAAGCATACATGTGTACCACAGACACACACATGCAGACACACAATACTGCATGCACAGAGACACACCAAACTACATACATGCTGTGGACACACATGTGTGCACGCATATACCATGCATGTGTGTACACATGTGAACGCATGCCCATACAGACATGGGCACGCATGCACACAAGACACAGATATATGCAAATATACACACGTATATATAAACACGTTGTGCATGTATGTGCATATACCACACATATGTACATAGCATGCATATACATGTGCGCGCAGCGCATTAACACACTTGCATTCACACAAAACA